GGCTGGAATCATGGTGACCACCCCTCACGACTCCTCTGGTATTATGGTTTTTTGAACGAACTGGCGACATACTAACAGAGCCTTTACACAAATTCCCCTTACTGGGTAGCACTGTAACAGACTGCAGAGTGGCTCGTAACCTCTGAGACATCTGAGTCATTTTTGGCAGAGTGGATCGGCCCCTGCTTGTTTCATTTTCTTCTGCATTCTTTGCCTGTACATTTTCAAAGGAATTGTCCATGAGAACCTCAAGTGGAGGGGGTGGTAGATTGTCAATATCAAGATCCTCTGTCCTTTCCGAGCACCGTGACTCCCCTTGACTCCTGAGAATACTATTTTCATTGAATGCTAATGTGGCAGAGGGACCTAAACCTGGAATGATGGGAACACCACACTTTCTAACACCTTTAAGAGGTCCAAGAACTGTTGCACTGTCTGGGGTCTGTTTACTTTCCTCCAACCCCTGACTGAAGGTGTCAATCAGTTTTTTAACATAATTCCTTTCCCTATACAACCCTGAAGATTGGCGGGGTGACGGTGGAGGGCTTGGCACAGGTGTTACCTTAACAGGCCCTTTAAAAGGAGGCTTGTCTTTTTCCTTTCCCTTTCCTTTGTCCTTTTTCTTTTTTTCCTCCATTTCTTCCTTCACACTTTCTTGTTCTACTTTTGCATGACATGCCTTTCTTTGATTACTTGGAGAAAAAATGATCCTATTCAAAGAACGCTGCCTGTCAGCAGCAACTGATGAAATTATTTGTGTTTGCGGTTGCTGAATTTTTTTAGATGAACCTGGTTTTGTATTTCCTTCACACTTAACCTTGGTCATTCTCTCCAGCCTTTGGTTGAGTTCCTTTTGAGTTCTCTCAAGTTCAATGAGTGTAGGATCTTCTACTTTATTATGCAGAGAGTCTGCTGATCTCGAACGTTTAGTAACTGTGGACTTTTTCTTAGATGTTCTAGAGGCAGCTGTTTGAGGTCTTTTAGAACTTTTGTCACCATCTTCAGTCCACTGACTACTGCTGTTTGGGTTATCTGCCTGTTTTGCTTTTTCTCCCGGTCCTTGGGATGGCGAAAAACGAATCCGGCCACTAATGGCATCTTTTAGCTTTAATGTCATTTCAACATTTTGTGGATTCTCTATTCGCTTTGCTGGCAAACGACGTGGTTGCCTCTGGTCTCGAATAAAATAATCTGTTTGTTTGCTTCTTTTCTCCTTGATTTTTTCATCTTCACTACCATCCTCCACATCATCCCTGCCACCTTCATCCAAGGAGACAGAGCCAAATACTGATTCCGTATCCCTCTGTTTTTCTGTAATCGTGCAAGTTGAGTCTATAGAGTTAAGAGAGCTGCTGTTGCTTATTGTTTTGAGAAGTCTGCCTCTGTATGAGCCTTGGTGAACTGGTGTACAACCACAAGAGCTGCTTGATGTAGCACAAATGGTTCCAGTTGACTCACAACTTTCTCTCCTTTGACATTGTCTCTCTGAACCTGCCAGGGACTCACTTTCTGCCCCAAGTCCACTGTCTTCACTAAATAGTGCAGAGTCTTCTGGGCCAGGTTTTTTCTGTGATGCAGCCTCAATCCGAGAAAGCAGCCGCATTAATCTAGACTCTGATGCACGTTTTGTCCTGAGCTTCTCATCTAGAATTTCAGTAATGGAGGAAAAGTAATCCACCGACTCCTCAAGCGCGGTATCCCCAATTCCACAAAATGATTGACCTACCTGACGCATCCTCTGTACGGTGTACTGAAGGAGTTGTTGTAGTAGGTCTGGTGGGGGCTCACTGCAGGTGGGAGAGGTCACATTTTTTGCTGAGTTGGATGAAGAGGAATTCTTGTTTTCACAAGGCCAAGCCAGATGGTCTCCATTTTCTTTTAACATCATCTCCCCCTCTTCCACTATTTCCTGCAGCCCTTTGTTTATTTCCTCATACCGTAAGACCATGAATGCCACCATGGGTTGCAAGGAAATTTGGGTTTGGGCTGCATGATCAAGTAACCCCAACAGATCTTCATATTTACTGATGCTGGGGTTAAGATATGCATACGCTGCTTGATGAGCTTTCACAAGTGCCTCTGGAAAGTCTACTTTTTCTTCATTAATAAATGTTCTTTCCTTTTCTTTTTTCCTGTTTAGTTTGACACCTTTATGACCTTTCTTTGACTTCTTTGCTCCCTTTTTCTCATAAACCTCTCGTTTTTCTTCTTGTCGTTCCTTCCCTTGAGATAATATATCAATGTTAATCTCTTGTGTACCTAGTTTTGCAGAAGCAGCCCCTTCAGGCTCAGCCATAGAGAATTTCCTCCCTAACGTCGTGGAACTTCTGTTGTTCCGAACCGTTGAGTTGTCTCTCTCTGTGTCCTGTCCACAGGATTCTCCACTGCTCCCATCATCAGATTGTGATTCTCCAAGTCTTTCATGAGTCCCTGGAAGTAGAGTTCTCCCTCTTCTGAACGCACCCTGTGCTGCATAGAGACCGTTCCCACGTGAAGGAGTGCAGCCCATTTTAGAGCAATTGCAGTTCACCAAGATTTTGAAAAAATACAGTCCAACAAAGATAAGGAGGCAGACCACTCCATCTGATGGCAGGATGGTTTAGAATCACCAGCTGCACTTGTCATTTTCAGATGACTCTAATTACCAGACACGCAGTTGTATTTGACTGCCTCCATGTATCCTTGGAAATCACCTTAGAAAGACTTTTAGGAAAAACAAATGTGGAGTGCCAAAGGAGTCGCTTATCTTTCAGTTAAAAAAAATTAAGAGAGAGAGAAAAAATATTCCACCACTGATTAAAAGTGTTTGTATTTCTTTTGAAGAAAGCAATGGCAAGCATTTTGTCTAATGCTGTAGAGTCCCTCTGTACCTTCTGGAGGACGAGCAGCTGAAGAGATTAAGGATTTGAGAGTAGTCCTAAGCACACAGTCTCAAGACTTTAAGCTCATTAAGGTAATCACAGTTGTTTTCAGGTAGCTTTTTTATAGCTCAAACCCAGTGTCCCATAGCATAGTTGGTCTAAAATAAAGTTCTGTTCAGTGAACTCTTGTAATTTATAAATATTCTGTTTGCTTTTGTGCATCTTGTTTCAACTTTTTGAAGAGAGAAATATATTTATTCCAGAAATATATTTTATTGTGGAACAATGTTTGTTGTTTTAAACAAGACATATACAGTTCACATCTTAATAAATGCAGTGATAATAAAAACTGTGGCAGAGATCTGATGCTCTGGTTCTCTCCCCTTAACACTTGTGTATTAGCACAGTGACACAAGAACCCATATTCAGCCATAGCCGCTGACTGTCATTCTGAAATCAATGCTTAGAGAGGGGAATGACTTCCCCTTCCTGTTCTTGTCTGATTGTAGGCGGCTGAAGCTATGCACCGCAACACTGCATTAATGTAATTTCTAGATCTCACTATAATCTCCCCAAGCCATGTGTGTGGAAAAGAAAGGCCATTGTCTATTATTGAAGAGTTTACCTTTATTCATGTCCAAATGCCACTCAGATAATATTGTAACAATACAAGACATATTGACATTCAACATATTACAAGGGTAACACATTATTTTAAGGACTGTTTATTAGTACGTACAAAGCACATATTAATGCCCTTTTCTGCATGACATTACATTAGATACCTCGATCTTACCCCATACCTAAACTTAACAACTATCTTATTAACTATTGATAAGCAGCAAATTATGAGTTTTGTTTGGCAAAAGTCATAGTTAATAGTTTGAGAATTGGAACTTAAAATAAAGTGTGACCATTACAAGTTGCTTATAATTAAGCAATAAAACATGAGCAAGAGTGCTGTCACCATGTGTGTTGTGAGTGTTATGTAATTCATAACGTGAATATGTGAATATATTTACAAAAATAATAATGTCAGCAGTAATCCACTAGACATGAGTTATTTTAAGGAAAAGTAGATTCTTCATGATATAACCCTTTTAACATTGTGTGTACTGTACACTTATCAAATGGATTTGCTCCTAGTTCTTTTTCGTAATGTCTGGTAAGGAAATTCTAAATGAATTGAACCCAAACCAGTATCTACTGAATTTATGGTATTTTGCGACCCCATTATAAAACCAGACTGCTGTGTTATCTCTGGGATAAAGTCAACTGAGTCAATGATGATATTATTGGCTATCGCAATATATGCCTCTCGAGTAAGCGGTTCTTTCTTCTTACAGAGAGCCATGTACCATTTAGGTGCAAAGTGACAGAAAATAACTCCATAACATGACACCAAGATGGCAGCTGCTTGAATTGAATAGCGCTCGTTGACCTTAGCAATGTATACAGGGGTGAAACAGACCCACACAAAAAGGTAAATTAGCATGCTTAGGATAATGTGTCCAGTCTCATTGAAAGCCTGAGGTACCTTTCTCCCTTTGAAGGCCATCAAAAAGCAGATAAATGCTAGCAATGCAATATAGCAAAGCATGATGGCAAATCCAATGCCAGAACCTTCATTGCACTGTACAGTAATCATCATGCTTTGGTCAGATTGAAATATCTCCACAGCTGGAGAATCAAATATCAACCAGAAGATGCAGATGAGGACTTGAACGAGAGTACCACAGGTTATGATGACAGGGGGCTTGTAAAATCTTTTAAAATGATCCTGGCGATACAGTACAAGAAAGCATACAAAGGTGCGTACAGCTTTAACCAAAATACACGAGACTGTGAGTGAGAACCCTAAGGCATACAAGATCTGTCGGCCCCTGCAAATGTGAACATTGGGTTTGCCAATGAACAATATGACGCTAGTATAGCTGAGTGCTAACCCTGCCATGATTAGAATACATAAGTTTCCACCTGCCTGTTTCATGACTGGTTTTCCATAAAAGACCAAAAAGATGATCAGGCTGAAGAACAACAATAGATAACCTAATACAGTAAATGTAAGTAGAACTATAGCATGGGACCCATCCCATTTCCAATAGTCCTCTTCTTTTGGCTTACAGGAAGGCCATCCTTTCAAAGACCAGGTACCATTTTCACAAGGGAGGCAATTGGGTAAATCTAAAAGAAAGACAAAGTTGATTTTATTGTATATTTCAATCAAGAAAGTTTGTCATAATAGGTATTTTTCCCTTTTAAATTGGTTTTGAAATAATTTATAAACTGGGCTCTGAATTGACATCTGTGGTTGAAACATAAGACAAAATAATAATAATAATAATAATAATAATAATAATAATTTCAATAAATTTTTACAGCAGCACCCACTGGCTAAAATTCTAATTTCTAGTGAAAAATTAAACAAGAAGTCATTCATAGAAACTCTACCTTTTAACGATACCACATGTTTACAATTGATTACTTACTTGTTCCATTAGAATAAGTACCCTCTAAACATTGTGTGCAATTATGGCAGCATGATGTTTTGAGGAGTTTCTTTGCTGTACCAGGTGGGCAAATAGCAGAGCACATGGAAATAGGAACCTAGAATAAGATGCATGGAACTGTGTTTAATATATATATAAATTTATTTTTATTTATTTATTTTTTATTTTTATTGTGTGTGTGAACAACATATGCATCTTTCTTAAAATGTCACATGGTTCCATATAAAACTGGTGCATTTTATAATTACTTAATTAATCTAGACTCACCGTATTGCTTGGATTACTCCATGTTATGGGCGACTTAATGTGAACTTCTTTTGTCGTCAGATTGTAATTTCCAACAACAACAAAGCTTCTCTGGACACTTGTTTCTTGTGTTTGCCAGTTTATTAAGTCATATCCATTCATGAAATTGCCATATGCATTAAAATAGAACGTTTGATTGTCCAAAGTAAAATTGATCTTTTTCAATTCTTTGAGGAGCTTTCCAAAAGAAAAGGAGATTTAAAATAAGTTCCAACTTTTGCAATAATGTATATAGAAATTATATCAAGAGCACTTGCTTCCTTTGCATGTTAGTATAATAGCATCTCCAAAATTGTATGTAAACCTTTTACTTACCTTCCATGGCGGAAAGTCCCGTTCTCCAGGGCAATCAGTTTCATTGCAGCTGAGAAGAAGTTTCAAAGCATGAGCAATGGACCATACAGCTAACCTTTCACCATAGGTTATGCTGATGTCGACAGCTTCTGTTAGAAAACCTCTGTCTTTCCCTAACTGCTTATATTCCTCAAGAAAGAGGTTTACAGAGCCCGGAGCAAGAGTCAGCTGCTGCAAAAACTCCTTAAAACCAGGATTGGGACCAGTTATGAAAGTGAACCCAAAAATGGCACCTACTTGGTTGATTCCCTCCATTCGAGATATATTTCGTGACATTGACCAAGCATCACTTGCAATCCAAGTACGCGAGATGTTCTGCCGAATCATTTCCTTGAACAGTTTAGAGACCAGCTCTTCCTTTAAGATAAGTAACACAACTTTAGCTTTGGATAAACTGATTATTTCTGCCACCTCTTGGATCCTTTTGTCGATTTCATTGTGAGCTAGGTAATGAGGCAATGCTTCTTTAAAAGCATGACAGATATCTGCACCTTCTGATTCAGCTAAGAAGCTTTGTAAGGCATTTTTCCCATAATCATCATCCCCGTAGACTACCCCAACCCAGTTCCAGTGAAAGTGTTTCATGAAATTAGCCAGAGCTTTGGTTTGGTGAACATCACTAGGAATGGTGCGCAGGAACGATGGGTATCGTACCCTATCACTAAGCGTTTGTGCAGATGATGTTGTGCTTATCTGTTTTAAGAGAAAAGGACAATGAATATTAATTGTTGATGTTTTTTGCCACTATCGCTACAAAATTGAGATTCATCAAGAATTGTTTTTGACTCCCTGAATCAAACTTTAATCAAATTACCTAAAGATTAACTCTAAATGATCATAATAATGTTACTCACCTGTGCGACCATGTATAGACTCAGAAGCCGAGCCACTGCCAGAGAGTCTTCTGAGAAACGAGCTCCAATGATTGCTTTTACATTAGGCCTTTCAAGCACCTCACATTGGACAGGCAGTGTGCCATTCACAGCGAGAAGCTGCTCGGTGCTCTGAATGGCCTTTGATGCATCAGAGCAAGTGTCACAGATGTAGTAGCCCAGTCGCACACCCGGGAGGAAGCTGGAGTTATTGATCGTTTCAATAGTATGCACAACAGCTAGAGTCCTTACAAGCGAAAGGAGATTTAATCTACAAGGAAATGAGGGAAATCTTTATTAGAAATAAAAACAAATAGCATATTCAACTTTCTAATCTAGAGAAATAGATTCTTACTATTTTTCTGTACACAAAATTTACCTTTTGAGACAGTTTTATACAGTTTCTAACAATCAGTGTACATTTGAATGCACAATTAATAGGGCTTGATATTGACACTGATTTGATTCTAATTCTAATAGTTCTCAGTTAAACTGCTATAAATTCACTTATTCTAGTTGTTCTATTAAATAAAACATTCTAGTTACGTCAACAGGCCTGTTTGCCACGATGAATAGCATGCATTGTGACAATAAGAAATGTATGGTTCACTTTATTTTCACTTTTGTAAATGTCATGATGATAATAATAATAATAATAATATAAAATATTAATAATAATAAGATAATAAATAAGAAAATAATCTAATTAATTAATTAATTGTCATTTGTTGTCAAAATGTATTGTGTCCTTCATCCAAATTTAATAATAATTCATAAATAAGTATTAATTATTCATTATATCTTATCATATTATTTATATCATAGTATTATTATTATTTACATAAATCAAGTGGCATTTGGTCTACCTGCATTTGGTGTACTGTAAAGTATTATTAACACCTTTCAAAAATATACGTTTTCAGGAAAGGTACTTGTTGGGTTAAAGATATTTAGTTATTCCATTCCAACAAATAAAATGTGCATTTAAATGATGGAAAATCAACACTCCGAGTCTTCAAGGTTGCATGGTAACACACGAAAGGCACAAATTATTGTACATATATGACAGAAAAAAAAAAAAAAAAAACAGATACTCACTCTGTGCAGTTGTATTTTTCTGGACGTTCTCGCACATGTAGTGTCTGCACTTTGGAATGGCAGGAATTGAGCACCCCTATCCATATATCCCCGTCTGCCCAGGCCCCACATCTGCCTGGCGAGTATTCACAAGCAGACCCAGAACCGGCCAAAATAAGGATGCCTATTAAAAGCCTGTAAAAGGCTTGTAGAAACATGACAGACAATCTGACTGAGCACAACTGACTCCAGAGATATGTTCACCTTGACAATAAGGGTAAAATGCATAAGTAATCTGACAGTCGTTCTGGTTTAAGTAAGAGAAGTATGCAAGGGGGCTGGCTCATTCTGAACGAAAACACAAAAAGATGTCAAACGATTACTTCCCTGGATCGACTCCAAATGTCAGACGAGCATACCTTTATTCTTCATCCTTCCCCCACAGACCGGTTCTGTGTAATTCTAGTAACTCACATTACATTCCACTGAGAGCTGAAATTTTAACCAGTTATAATTCTCTCTGCAGAAGTGTGGAAATTCCACATGCATATTTATGTTTATTGAGAATGTGGGTGCATGTATGTGCATAGGTGACCGTGATTTCACCAAGTACAACATGTTCCTGGATCAACATCCTTGTTGATCCTGGAACAACATTCCAATTAACCAAGCAGAATTGAGGGATAACTTTTCAGTGAAATATCTGTTTTAGGCTTACGATCAGGATTAGGTGCTTCTACACCCTTGTTAATCAGCTATCATTTCACACTGATTTTAGGAATAAATTATGGGTAGGGATTGGGTTTAGTCTATATTTTTGGACAGTAATGTTGATCCAGGAACATGTCTTACCTGGCAAAATCACGGCAACCTATTTTTCAGGGTTAGTTTACTTCAGAGCTATCAGCGCATGCGTGACCTTATAATATTATATATTATAACAATATAGTTATCAAATATACAATATATATATATATATATATATTTAAAGTTGCATGATATGTTAATTATAAAACACTATAAGTAGGCCTACTATATAAGGTAATATTGTATTATTCTAATATGTTATTATATTTATTGTCAGATGGGTCGGGCTTCCGGTCTCATCCACGTCCAGCTATTTGCATATATATAATGCAAACAGTTTTACCGTTTACTGCACATTGTTATTATTCTCGTTATTTCCCTACAGCGGCTAATGAACCGGAAGTCTTGCCGATAGGCTTACTTCCAAGTTGAAGAAAAAGGTGGATATGTGACGGTAAGTTAACCTTGCTTTCTGGAACACAGCCCAGTAGCTATAGCAACTAATGAGGAGCGGGAACATGGGGAACAAAGGAAACTAGGTCAAACTAAACACAGGAACAAGGAACCAAGTAAATTAAATATAAAATATTTAAATATTTAATACAAATTAAACATTTGCCATTTTTTGATAGTTCCATAAATAATTTGTAAATTTCAGTCAATTGAACTGTAGTTGTCTATTATTATTTGGTCTGATGTGAATAATGGAGTGGAGTCAAAGGCTCAAAATACTTCATGTACAGCAGAAGTAATGTAATCAATTTAAGTAGAATGCAAGTAAAACTACAATATACTAAGTTTATTACAAAACAACATATTACAAATCATGCTAGTGAGAACAGACTGAGTTCATTACCTCATAAAAGGGCCTTCTTTTATTTTATTTTATTTTATTTTCATTTATTTTAATTCGATTTTTTATCTTTATCTTCAAATTCTAATTTGTTTTGAATTTTGTATAATTATTTAGCTGGTTGATTTATCTGGCCAGGCAGGTTGGGCTTTTGTGTTGAGCTGGCTTCAGGATCGCAGTTAGTGTAATACAATACCGGCATGTTTTTTATTTATTTTTTTTATTTTTTTATAAAAAACATTATACCATCAAAGATACTAATGAAAGTTAAAAAGGGAAAAAAAATTAAAAATAAATAATTATAACGATGATTTATAAAAGAGATTTTGATTTTACGACTGGATTCTGTTTGAAGTATTACAGTGCTTACATCATGGATATTTTTTTAATGGTTTCACTAAATAGATGTTGTCAAAGTAGAACTGCTTCCCAAGTACTCTTCCTGCAAAACTGGAAAGCAGCTAGGGCATTTATTAATTCAAATGTGTGCATATTCATGTAGTCTCTTAGGTTCAACTATTCACTTACTCTGCACAGAAGAGGTTGAACTGGTGCAACTGGTAAATTAAGCTGGGAGTTTTTAATCTTGCTTTAAACTATGAAGTTATGCATTAAGTGTGCGGTTTCATGGTTCAGAGGTATTCTTTCAGGGAAATACTGAATAGTACATTTGAAATGCATCAAATATCACTTTCTGATCAAGAGAATATGTGACTTCTTTAGACGTTTTCTCAACACATGCATTCTTTCAAGTCACAACAGGAAGTTCCCATGTGTTTCTGGCTGTGTCTCTCTGGAATACACTGATCAGCTGCACTATACTAAGTGGAGCATGTTTTCTTTTTCTTTTCTTTTTCATTTGCAGTGCTCCAATATAACAGTTTGAATAATTTTCATGTAATGGCCAATAAGCATAATAATAGTTTTCCTGGGTGTGCTGGCACAAACTGCTATACACTCACATGAATCTACACAGGAATGCAAATGAAGATTTTGGATTAATAATAAATTAGTTCATTTTCGGTTTGTTTCTCACCAAACCCTACCATATGCCTTCAGAACACTTGGAATTTGGGATGAGTTAGGGTTATTTTATGACATGTTTGAATCCTTAAAAAATAATATATATATATATATATAAGCAGGGCATATTCACTGTCATTAAACTGACAAGGGCAACCATGATTATTGATTGATTGATTGATTAATTGATTGAAAAAGTATTATACAATATGGCTAAAAGAATTATGAAGTAATATGGCTTTAGATCAACAGTTCCATTGTGAGGTGGTGATGCTGCATATCAGGATATTCTCAATGGAACACTTATAAAACCTAAGTAGAATGAGAGTTCTTCAAATCTTGAATTTGACAGAGTGTGGGTCCTTTGAGTGAAAAAAGGTTGAGAACCACTGGCCTGCAGGGATGAATTGGAACACCTGAGGCCAATAACCAGTCTCTCTATGTGAAAAAGGCAGAAGAGATGGTTATTGACTTTAGAAGGTCTCGGCCCATCCAAACCCCCCTTGAACATTGATCGCTCAGCAGTGGAATCAGTGTACAGTTTCATGATTCTTATTGTGCACATCACCTCAGAACACTCCGGGACCCCTCACCTCAAGCTTTCTTAAAAAAAAAAAAAAAAACACACTGGAATTCCAAATGTGAATGCATAAAAACATGGATTTTTTTTTTCTGTTTCTTTTTCCTCTTTCCCCCCTCTCCATTAAATTGTTCTATGAGAATATATATTAAATGAGTAAATTAAATCAGTGAATGAAATGACCTCAGAATCTTGCAGTTTAGTGCATAAAGTGAATTTAAGGAAATGTGTCTCATGAACTGCTAATATCTGTACTTTCTGTAGCAAAAGGAGTAAAGTAAGTAAGTAAGAAAGTAAACAAACAAATAAATAAAACTATTTTATAATTATTTTAGCATATTCAGTTCCTTATGTTCAATCAACCCTTTAGTATATACTGTAAAACACTGCATCTCTATTTCTTATTATATGTCTTATTTTTGTTTTTAAATAATTTATCTTAAATATATCTATAACAGTGTGAGTAATTATTGGGAAGGGGTTGAAATAAAATTCACACTAAATAGTGCTCGACAATAAGGACTGCCTGATGGCCTGGGTATGAAGGTAAAATAATGCCTAAAAGATTTGCAAACACAGGGTAAGAGTTGTGGAAGTGTTCATAAGACTGTAAGCGTAAATAAAATTTGCATGCGCAAGAGAAGCTTTGTAAAGGTGTAAATCGCGTTTCAAGCATATGAAAAAATGATTTGCAGCATTTTACTGTTACTCGTAAGTGTAATCAGTGGCGGCTTGTCGGGGGAGGCAGGGAAGGCACAGCTTCCCCAAAATTTTGTGTGTGTGTGTGTTCACTGCTGTGTGTGTGCACTTAGGATGGGTTAAACGCAGAGCACTAATTCCTAGTATGGGTAACCATACTTGGCCACATGTCACGTCACTTAGAAATTTTGAGGTGAAAATGGCAGGAGGACGATTTAATGTTAATAAAATTCACAATTCATTTCAATTCATGTCTGAAATGTTTATTTTTTGTTTGTAATTTCACAGCTGTAATACCATAACATGTTACTGAAGTTGGAAAGCGCCGCTTTTCTATCGCGAATGTGCCGAATCTGCTGATGTAATTACAACCACTAGGTGATAGAGAAGAGGATGCGGAGGCCGGGGGAGAGCTGAGCTCTCGTGCCTCCGTTGGTAAAAAAAAATTAGCCAATCAGCATCAAGTGTTCACTTTCAGCGCTGAGGAGTGTTGAGGAAAAAAAAGGCTAGCCTCCCTTCTGGTATATCAACCAATCATCATAGAGATGTCAATTACGTGATATTAGTTTGAACGTCTCCCGCTGCGCTGATAATGTACCAAGTACTTATGAGTAGCGGTATTGAATATTTGATGCCAACAGATTTACCAAGCTGTCATTCAAACAGTATATATACAAATTAAAAATAAAGGGAGAACAAACCTAAACTGGATATAGGCTAACGTTACAGCAGTCGGCTCTTTTAACACATACTTTTAAGAAGGGATGGATGTTTGCTGGATGGATAATAATAATAATAATAATAATAGTCGGCAGGGATCCCCAGACCAATACAATTAATTAGTGTGCCTCCTCTATTTTAAAACCCATGAGCCGCCACTGAGTGTAATTCATGTATTGTGAAACTGCAGCTTCATGCTAACGCAAAATAAATATGATCTGCATGCTTCTGACTTCCATAGCCGCCACTGAGTGTAATTCATGTATTGTGAAACTGCAGCTTCATGCTACCGCAAAATAAATATGATCTGCATTCTTCTGACTTCCATTTGTCCGCGCTTACACTTTTGGCACGTTGTTTTAGCTAAAATAAGGTCAAAAGTACTGCAAACCTGTGAACAGTGATCTGCAAGCCAAAACAACAGTATAAAGAACTGCAAAACGGATTGACTGCATAGAACCAATCTGTATGTGTAAAAAAACAAACTGTTGCAAATGTCTAAATGACTTGTTGTGCATGTGGGGCAAAAAGTTCCCGAAATAAACAGATATGTACAGCTCCGTCTTTCTTTTCTCTGCTCTTGCAATTTTGGCAAGATTCTCTGAGTTCACTCACTGAGTTTTGCAAGCGTGAGAGGGAGGGTGGGTCCACCACCTTCTTGTAGCCAATCAAATAAGGGTCTCGCTGACTCTCCATTTACTCTTATCCGATTGGTTCAATAAACACATCAAACGCCAAAAACATGAATCTTCATTTAGTTCAGGATCGTTCTCGCTGCTAGAATGGTACTTTTAACGTACACATACATTAAAAATAAATAAATAAATAAATAACAAAATTAAAACATGATACTTTATAAGTTATCTACCATTAGGCTAGACTCCCATGTGTTCATACTGAATTGTGAGTTGGTGTAAACATTATTTGATTGGTTTAGCTTTACATTGAAATTTCATATATCATATAATCTGCATACACCATTGAGCTGATGTTAAACAGTACAGTCAAAATGATGTTATGTGACAATGCTCAGCACTATAGTATCAGAGTGCTATACTTTGTAAAACCTTTTTACTATACCAATAAAGCTACATAAATCTGAATTTGTCAGTTTTTCAGACCATGTCTCTGTTTACGGTATTTAACACTCAATTTTATATTTTGAAATTTCGGATTACTTTCATGTGACTGATCAAGCTATTATATGAAGCAAGTATGAGCAACAAAATGCTTTCTTTGTGTCCAGATTTGACTAACGCAAAAACTTACACTTCAAATCAACATATAAAAAAAAATCAACTTTGATAAAAATATGTATTTAATGATGTCTAAATATATATCCAAATTCAAGTAACTAATTATGTGGGAATCCAACATTTCCAGCCACTAGGGAACATACAGCCATGTTTATATATCGAGCTAAACAGTCATCTAGTGGTTACACAATGGTATCACAGATGATAAATGGTGAATAAGTTCCCAATAAGTTAGAGATAATAAATATTTTAGCAATATTTAGTCAAATCCCCTTAAATTACAACATGTTAAAGTAAAAAATATATATATATATAAATTATTACTGAACCAAATTTTAGTTTTTAAAAAAATGGAATCGTCCCTGATCAGTAGACAGGTGAAAATACATGTATTAAACTAGTGCAGACACTAGGCCATCTTTAAGTATCATCAAAATTACAATATTAAGTCAAGTCACCTTTATTTATATAGCGCTTTTAACAATACAGATTGTGTCAACGCAACTGAACAGCATTAATTAGGAAAATAGTGTGTCAATAATGCAAAATGACAATAGTAAACACTCATTTTTCAGTGAAAGGCAGAATTCATTGAATTCAGTGATGTCATCATCCAGCTCAGTTCAGTTTAAATAGTATCTTTGCAATCATTTGCAATCAAGTCAACGATATCGCTGGAAAATTCTTCCTCCTAGACGCCCCGCTTTCGCCCTCTGGCCTTTTCGGCGACGCAGTTAACACTGTTGTCGAGAGGTTTCAGGAGGCGAGAAAGCAAGCGGCGGCGTTTCAACGGTTCCTCCCGCGTCGCTCCCAGGCCGATGGGGCTGCACAGAGCTGCCCCGTGGCATAAGGCAGATCAGCTGTTTGTTTGTTTTGGTCCGCCAAAGAAAGGATATCCAGCGACCAAGCAGACCATGAGTAGGTGGGTGGTCGATGCCATGTCACTAGCTTACGAGTCCTCTGGCCTCCCGTCTCCTATGGGGGTCAGAGCGCACTCGACCAGGAGCAT